TGAAACGTTTGCAAGAAAAGAACCAAGCTCAGAGAAGCCCAAGGACTCCACAGTTCAACCCTGAGCTACACGTATTCACCTCTATTGGTAGCATGTATTGTGTTGATTCAATTTAGACTGTAACCAAAACATTAATTGATAAAACTGCTTTATCCATGACCAGCAAGGTACAATGCCTGTTGTATGTGTGGTCCTTGCACTTCTATTTCTGGATTAGCTTTTCTTCATCTAGAATTGAATACTTGATCTGCTGCTATTATATTTTTAAGCTTTTTACTGCTGCTCTATTATTTATTCTATTGCTTATTTTATTTTCTATATACTATGTTTTAATGCAAGTTTTAACCATTTTAATTAATGCTTTAATTATTTTTATTAAAAAATAACTGGTTTTTTATATGAGAAGCAGATTTATTTTTTAAATCAATTTTTCATTCATGATGGTGTACAGCATTTTCTCAGTCTAAATCAATATCCCATATATTTTATATTAAATCTATAGATAAATATTCCAATGATATCAGTGAGATGTGTAAAAATTCTTAATTTTGGTTGGATTAGATCCTGTTTTACATGGTTAGTCTGTGATTAGCAGAAAAGGGGTACAAGTAATATGTGGTTTTAATCTTTTAAAATAATTTCTAACATTTTAAGATAAGGTTTTCAGTGAGAAACTCAAAATAGTTTCCATTAACTCTTAAATGTTATAAATATTGACTGTAGGAAACGTGAAGAAGAAAATAGAAGAAAAGCCTCAGAACAGCAGAAAGACATGCAGAATTCCAAAACTAATAAGGTCCAAGTGCAGCAGCAGGATTTGCCAGAGATGGAGAGAAGCCATTTGAGACTTCATACTCCACAGTCCTTTGTTCCACCTGGTAAAAGGCCTCCATCTGACAACATGTCACAAAATCAACCAGGAAAAAGCAAGAGAAGCACAACCACAGTTTTATCAAACAAAGTGAAGGTCAAGAACAAAGGTCCCTCAGTAGAGCTACTTGGTGAAGATCACAAAAGAAAAATGGGTTTGTAATCTCTTTTACCATTTGTCAGGGTTAAGAACAGTGCCTTCTTCTGAACAATAAAATGTGGGGACTGGGAAGACAAGAGTCCAGTGCTTTATACTACCAGATATAGCCATATTTGTGCCACTTGATTTGTGCCAAGTAAGCAGCTAGGGTATCCGTTCTATGATTTATGGAAGCAGCAGATTTTTGGTCAACAAAGGATAGCAGTGCTGGCTATATAAAAAGATGTGTTAGTATATAAAAATATAGAGATAGTAAAAGGAAAAGAAGCCACTGTAGATATTTGAGGAAGGGATTCAAACGGTTGGAATGATAAAAGCCTGGTAGACAGATAGAAAAGAATCAGCTAAAAAGAAAATCACAGCTACAACATAAAAGAGATTCAGTATAAGAGAATTAGCATATGTAGAAAAGTCGGGAAAAGTTTAGTAAGAATGGTAGCTGAGTAAAGAAATATCATTGCTCATTTTCATCAGGCATGTTTCAACAAAGAGAATGTGGCAAAAGCCAAACTGGATGGAATCTGAAGGAGCTCAGATGAGACAAAATTGAGACAGTTGAGATAAGCATTATGCTCCAGGAGTTCAACAGCAGGAAGAAAAGAAAAGAAATTGGAGAAATAGGATAGGTCATGGGATGGCCATTTTTTTAGAATATATTTTTTTTAATATGAAAGAGAGCAGTTAGAGGACAGATTGCTAAAATAACATGCTAGAGAAAATAGATGATAGGAGAAATGGCATCTAAAAATTGGGAGGGACCCCACTGAAGGGATATGTTTAAGGATTCAAAAAAGATTCTTTGTTCATCAAATGTGAAACTCGAGAGGGGAAGGCATTTCTAAGGAGGGATATGTTGGTAAGGTTCTATTCCATCACATGAATATATTATTGCATGAGTTTTCTGTTGAATGTTGAAACATACTTGGTAACGTAACTTGAGATTGCCACTAGTTGGTGAATTGTGGTTTTGTGTTAGTCAGCTATTATACTGACAAAGGTATTGATAAGAAAAATATGTGAAAACTTTATTTTAAAAAAAAACACATCATGGCCTCTGTGATTTACACATATGGGTTATGCGCTTGTATATAGGATATTCCTGTTTGGAATCTTCCAGAGGTGGACACCTGCCTGAATGTCAGTGTGCATGCCTTGGGAGGGAGGGGTGATTGCCATAATCTTCTCAGTTTTTTTTAATCTGTTACAGCAGTAACTCATCAGGAATTTATCTCCAACAAATGCAGTACTTCAAATTTGTTCTTTACTTCAATATATTTTCAGGGAACTTGGTTCTTCCCCCATCCCCAGTACTCCTGTCATGTTGTCTTAATGACGCTACTCTGCCAGTGCACAAAAAATGATAACATATTTCCTGTGACTCCTTTCCTTTGGCAAGGATTGCAAGTGCTGGGACCTTTGATATCAATCTTTTTGTCACTGACACCAACTGTCACTGCATCTCTGGCTGGAGAGGAAAGGTCTATACATCACTAAGTAATATTTCTTTGCAGTTGAATAATTCAGTTCTTTTACATCCTAGTCCCTTTCAAGTTTATGGCTTGATGCAGAGTAAGTTGATTGCATTCTTGGTATACTTTAGTGGTTACATCAACTCTATTTTGCCATGATCTGCATCAACTGCAACAGAAGTACCTTGAATCTACCAAAAGCACCTGATCTTCTGGAACTGTTTACTGTGATACATAAAAAGCACTGCTGATCTTTAAAAATTTCTTTCTGCTCTCCAGAAAGCGTTTATTTAGCAGCGGTCTCCATACCCCATGCCACAATAGACTGGGCTCCCATTTTCTAATGCTTAAGTCTAAACATTTTGAGCTATTAACAATTTGCTTGTTACAACCACTGTCAATAAAACTTCCCTTCTTGGTGGTGGTTATTTCAGCTGACAAGGTGAGTGAACTGTGTGTGCTCAGAATCTGTCCTTACCTGGTTGTACATCAGAAAACTATGGTCTTTTGGTTTGGCATTTTTCGTTTCTCTAATACTGTTTCTAGTTTTCCTATTATCCATGAATTAGTTATGTATTGCCTTGTCTTTTTTTGCAACTACTTGACTTTCTTAGAATGCTCATCTTTCAGCTACGTTTTTATCTTCAGAGGTACTACCATCCTTTTAGAAGGTCTTGTATTATTTGTTCACTGTAGAAACAAAATGAAAGGACTCCTGTTTTAAAGCCAATTATTCTTGAGGTGGGTTGTCAAGATTAAAACTACAGTATAAGAGAGCAAAGACTTGCCACTCAAGTAACATCCTTGGCTGTGTTTGAATGAAATATGCTACTTTCAAACTTGTGGCAGCCAGTTACTTGGTTTCAGCTCTTAATATATGTGAAGCACTTGAACTTTTGTTTAAGACTGCTTTGGCATGACTTTTGGCACAGTCTCTGTGAGCATCTGTACTTTCACCAGGTAAACAGCTTATTAGTCAACTGTAAGTGTGAATTACATAGACCACAGTGAAAAACTGGGCACTTACCTATAGCAATAGTTCTTTGGGTAGTAATCTATGAATTCACATAACCCAAACTCTGTCCCTGCTACAGTGCCTATTTTATTAGATTGTCATTAAAGAGCACTGCAGTAAACTTCAGAACATACGAGGCTAATGGGAATTGCACTTACACATGCAATTATATATAGGAGTGGGGTTCCTATCTAAAATCTTAGCGCTGCAAGATACTGAATAGTGTCAGATTCAGCCGGCACAGCACGGCCAACACCGCTGTTCAGTTTCACCTCCCCTAGTCAATTTCACCGCAGGCAGCAGAAAAGAGGAAGTAGGGTAAACCGCAAGTTAATTGCCGGCAGGTGGCAGCAATTGACTCGGGGCAGGAGCTGATACTTTGTAACAAAGCCGGCTTCCCTCGATCACCCCCAGGCAACGCAAACCGCAACGGCTCGGAAGGGCAGCAATCAGTGAGCAATTAAGAAGCCCCAGCTTCTTAGAAGAAAAGCCCAACGAATTTAAAGACCCCACAAACAAAGGACAGTAATTAGGGAGACACAGAAACACTGCTGAATCTGCCATTTGGGTGAGGGGGAGAACACCGGCAGGCAAACTAGTAACCCAGGCAGTGGGGAGAAGGGTGGGAAAAGGGGTAACTCTGGGTCAAGGAGGGAACCCTATAAAACCGCTGTATATAACAGTGCCAAGCCAACCCTGGCTTTGTTTGTAACCACCTGCATTACACCTGAGTAAACTTCTTTGACTGAACATGTGTGTCAAGTCCACAAAGTCCAAACCCCAATTCAGAAGAATTCTCATGAAACCAGGCCTGGTT